GTCGTTGTCTCGGCTCCAGAGACTGGGATGGCGGCCGGGTCCCCCAGGGATATGAAATTAGAGTATTTAGATTAGAATATAACGCGGTATTAAATTATCCCAGCGAGCAGCTCCTCCCCGCACACGACCGCCGGAGTTCGGGTGCTGGCGGGAGTCTGGGCATCGTGTGCCCCGGTGCAGCCGGGACCGCGGAGCGGCGCGGGTGCAAGGCCCCGGCGAGCGATCCGGCACTCCCGCGGCGGCACCGGAGACGCCCGGTGATGCAGCACCCGGTGCCTCGGAAACGGGGCATGTCCCTTTCTCGTGACCGGGGCTGGTGCTGAGGCTAGGAGTTAAGGGCGGAATGTAGCGCTTTCCTCGTCCGTAGGACTTTTGGCAGACCTCTGGCCAAAAGGCACGTGTCCCTCATCCGAGGGTAGGAAAACGAGCGGCGTCTTGGTCAAACGAGCTTTTGTTGATGGGTCTGGATTGTCCTTCTGCCAGTCATTGATGCAGGGAAATGCATTCGAGTCTTGGCTCCTGGTCTGTGGCCTTTGAAAAAGAACAGCTCGGAGGTGGCGATGGCACACAGCGGGATCTCGGTCGAGAGGAATTAAAGCGCAGGTTTTCCTCGAATTACGTAACTAACAGGGTAGGCAGTGGGTGTAAAATGCTCCGCCGGGTGTTTGTTCTGTAGGCGCGCGGTACGCGGTGTGGCACAGGCGGAGATGAGTAAGCTTAACCCCGGACAAGGAGCTTTAGGGACTCGGGCTGGTGGTTGGTTTTTTTTGCACGGGGTGGGGAGCCGCTCCTCCGAGCGGTTTGGGACGGGTACAAGCTTTGAAGAGCACAGGGCTCGCCGTGAGGCGCCCGCCGGGGTTTGCGCAGCACGTCAGCCCGGGGGATGTGGAAGCCAGGAAGGTAAAGCCTGGCCCTGGTGGCTCAGGCTGGCGGCACCACCCAGTCCCCAAAGGGGATTAAAAGGGGACACGGAGGTGTGGTAGTGGCAGAGGAGACTTGGGGAGAGGAGAAGTGCCTGCTGCATGGCCCGGCTGCTCCCTGGCACCTGGCCGCATCCTGCACCGCTCCGCCTGAAGCCAGATGTAGGCTTCGGGAGCCACCAGCCTGGCGGCCCCGAGAGAGGCACGTGGGTGCTGAGAGCATCCGAATGTGTGTCTGTACGGGCTCTGCCTGCGTACTGCACCCCGGGAAAGCGGAGGCTGGGTCCTGCGCTGCCCCGAGGTTCCCTGTGCGAAACGGTACCCCGGCCATGGTTCAGTGTAAATGCCCTCTGGGAAAAGTTGTTCCATCTGCCTGTCTGTCTTACGCAGCTTTCTGGTTCCCTGTGCCGCCGTCATGTCTCGGAGCCCCTCCGGCAGCTCTGTGGATGACAAGACGTTTTTCCTGGAGTACCGATGCCACCCAGTACGGCCGGAGCCCCCCAGCCCGACCTCCCCCCCCGGGAAGTGCAGTTTCGCCACGGCACCCGCCGCCGCCTCGCTCCCACCAGTGGGTTCTCCCACCTCGGCCGAGCCCCGCCGCATCGTCCTCAGCACAGACAGCCCGGCCGCGCTGAAGGTGGGAACCCAGCAGCTGATCCCCAAAAGCTTGGCTGTCTCCACCAAGACCAGGAACAACCCCTCCCGGCAGCAGAGCGTCGGGGTGAGCCGAGAGCCCCTGAGCCCTAACCCGAAACAGGCGGCTGTCCCCGGCCTTCCCCTGGAGGTGGAGGATGACGGCGGGGGGGCCCTCAAGCGCAACCTGAGGAACATGTCCTACCGCGCGGCCATGAAGGGCCCGGGCGCGGAGCCGGAGCCGGCGAACGCCGTCCCCTCGCTGAAACCCGTGTCGGAGGAGGGCAGCGCCCTGCCTGCCCGCAGCCCCGGCAGGAACAAGGTGGGTTTCGCGCCCGCTGTCGCCCGATTGCTCTCGGGTGGGGATCGAGCCCCTGCTTTCCCTGGCGATGAGCTGCTGCCGCGGAATCTGCGGAGCCTTTTTCCTGCAAGTCCCTGTCGGTCACGGAGCTGCGTCGGCCCGCCGTGGAGCCGGCAGGGCTTGCGGAGCGTGGGGACGTGACTCGTGCCTTGGGAAGCCTGCGTGTCACCAGCAGATGCTGTAGGTCCCCAGAGAGCCCGGCAAGAGCTGACGTGGCTTTGGCGGGGAGCGTCACCGGCTGCTCCGGGGCTCCCGCTTGTCGGTGGGTGGCTGCGGGCACGTTTGCAGGGTGGGGTTGGCTGGGTGTGCGGCTCTGAGGTAGCCAAACATGGATAAAGCAGGTCCCGGGAGAAGGAGACTCCAGGGCAGGCAAAGTCCAGGTGTGAGAGGGAGAGATAGGTAAGGCAGCGGCCAGACTGCAGAGTGGTTTAGATCGTGACCCCGATAACACAAGGTGAAAGCTGAGTCACTTCGGTAAGGCAAACAAAAGCTCAGACAGAAATCAGGCTGAAAGGACAGGGTGGTGTTTGCTGGCGGAGGTAACTTCTCCCCTTTCCTGAAGTTGCTAAATGCTTCCCAGGGCCACCAAAACAGAGTAACTGCAGCGCGTTCTCCTCTTCTTCCTCTTGCAGAGAACCTTTGGGCGGAGGAGGGTGCAGAAGCGTGGCGGCTCGTTCAAGGACCGTGAGTGCTGCCTCCTGTCTTCCCGAGAGCGCCGGCGTCCCCTCTGCCTCGCCGGGCACCGGGGCACTTCTCGGCGAAGCGAATCCCTAGAATTCCCTTTGCCGCATGTGCTGCTGCTTGTCCCTGGCCTGGGGCAATTGCTTTTGCCTCCCTTTCCCCACCTGCAAGAGGAGCATCGCAGCCCTGCTTTCCCACTCCCCGGGGCGTGATGACGCTCAGGCTGCTGCCACGCTCCCGGCCGGAGCGCTCCCAGCTTTGCTTGCGCTGGGCAAACACGGGAGAGCTGCGCGCTGGCTGCGGGAAGCCATCAGGAGCGGGAGCTGCCGGTTAGTCGGTGCGGTGCAAAGTCCAGCCTCGGCGGGGAGGTGCTGGTTCTGGCTTGCCGGTGCTTGTGGCAGGGCTCTTGGCCGACGGGGTGAGGCAGTGGTGGGAAGGGAAGCTGCGGGCCACGGCTGGGAGAGGCTTCGCTGACCTCGTGCCTTTTCCTCTGCAGAGCCCCAGCTGTATCAGGAAATCCGTGAGAGAGGTCTGAACTCTGTCAGCCATGAGTCAGATGAGGATTTGCTGGAGGAATCCATCCCCGGAGAGCCGTCCCCTCCGGGTGCAGCTATCGTGGTGCAGAGCTATCGCCCGGCGCAGGTGACCTGGAGCCAGCTCCCGGAGGTAGGGGCAGCAGCCCAGCCTGGAGGGTCCGAAAAGCCCCGCTTGCCCTCGCCGTGCCCGCTCCCGCGCTCGTGATGCATTGCACCCACCGCTGCGTGTATTTTAAAAGCTCTCTGAGCTGCTGAACAAACCACGAGCGGATAATTCTGCAGCATTAGTCTTTGTGATGGGATCTTTTGGGGCTGTCCAGCCCTGGCTGGGACATGCAGGTTCCTGTCCAGGCTTGTCGGGATGCCAGCGGAGCTGCTGTGGTTGTGCTTGTGAGAGGTTCACCCGTGGGTGGGAGAAGGCAGGTGCTGCTGCTGGATACTGGGGCTTTCCCTGCTGACCCTGGGGGAGAATAATCTCCTCCTGTGGAGCGGCATCAGCTGACGGCTGCAGGCTGGGGAGCATTGGGAGATGCGGCGGCAATGGGAGATGCGGCGATGGGAGATGCTGCGGCAATGGGAGCTGCAGCGATGGGAGATGCTGCAGCGCGGCTGGCGGGTTGTGCGGGGCTGGGCTCAGCCCCCGACCGCACTAGAGGGCGTGCAAGGACCGTCGGTCACAGCGAAGGCGGCTGCTGATCCCGGCCTCTCGCCCGCAGGTGCTGGAAGCGGGCATCCTCCAAAGGATATCCCCCGAAGAGCGCAAGCGGCAGGAGGTGAGAGGAGCCTTCGACGTCCCTGGGAGCGTGGGGTCAACGCCGAAGGTGGCGGGGCCACCCACGTGTGGCTGGGTGTCCTAAAAAGCACCAAAGTTTTTGGTGTAGGCCAGGCAGCGCATGAGCTGATACAGGGAACACCGTGCTGTTGGAGCAAAGTCATTTCCAGTGGCTTCGTGCCAACCAAATGTAAAGAAGATACAGCCAAGCTTTCATTCGCTGCCTGGGTTAGTCAGCTTGTGCTGTTACATCTTCACTGCCTTGCTTTTTCCAGGCGATGTTTGAGATCATCACTTCTGAGTACTCCTACATGCACAGCCTGAGCATCCTGGTGTGCCACTTCATGAGGTCGGAGGAGCTGAAGGAGACCATGACTCAGACGGAGCACCACCACCTCTTCTCCAACATCAGCGACATCCTGGCGGTCAGCACCAGGCAAGTGGGGGCCGTCGGCGTGGGCTTGGGGCCAGGCAGGCCGGGAGGAGGGACGCTGGCACTCCATTTATTTGCCCTGTAAAACCAACCGTCCCTTGGGCTGTTGAAGGTGCTGAGACATCGCACCCATTGCCCTTCTTCCCGGTGCCTTGGGTCGCGGCACGCTCCCCTGCAGCAGCTTCATGCTGTTACACGCTCAGGACCCGAACATCTGTTGAAGGGTCTGTTACCCTGATGCCGCCCAGTTTTTTTAATGGGTTATAATGGTAGCACGCAGTCACGTAGCTGCAATCAGGCACCTAAAGCTGGCTGAGCCGATCCCCGTGCCTGGGACACTCCTGTTTGCCTGGAAATTCCTCCTGGGGTGTCCGGCCGTGAAGGTGGTGCCTCCCTTTGCCTCCGGGCTGGTGAGACAGGCAGGAGGAGCCGGTAGCGCCGGGGCTCCAGCCCGGCTGCGGCATGGCTGGAAGCGGGGCACGGGGCGGCTGAGCCACCGCGGCGAGTGGCTGCTTGTTCCAACGCGCGGGCAGGGAATCGCTCGGGTGCAGGCACTGAAACTGCACCTTCGAAGAGCCAGCGTAAGCGTGGCTCTTTCTTCCCTGGGAGATGGGGAACAAACGCCTCGGGAGCTGGTGCTCGGGGCGGCCGGCAAGCCGTGTCCGTGTGGGAAAGCAGCAGGAGGAGAGCGCAGGCGGGGATGCGGCAGCCCCGGGAGCTGCTGCGGGGGTGTTGAGGGCTTGCGGCTTCCCGCAGCTGGGCAGAAATGGCCCCGATGGGGCAGAAATGAATCTTCCCAGAGAGCTAAAGGGAAGGAGGGATCTCGTGTGGGAACGGAGGAAGCGTGGTGCATCTGAAGCTCGAGAGCTGCGTGCCCCATCTCTGCCGCAGAGCTGCTCGGAGCCGCGCTGGAGATGTCGATGTCTCGGCTGCGTGGAGCTGACCTGTGCAGAAGGGATCCAGGGTCTTGTCTCCTCTGGGAAGACTGGGGAAAAGTTGCAGTGGGAACATTGTTGAATATGCATCCGTTCGGTTTGTCTGGCCCTGACGAGTCATGTAGTGAAGTTACTTGAAATTCTCTCCTTAGATTCTTTGAAGACTTAGAGAAGCGACACCAGGAAAACCTCCTAATTCCCGACATAAGCGACATAGTGGAAGAACACGCCTCGAACCACTTCAATCCTTACATCAGCTACTGCTCCAATGAAGTCTACCAGCAGAGGACACTTCAGAAGCTGCTGTGAGTACTGCCGTGCGCTCCGGCTTTGGGCTTGCGAGGGAATTGCCTGCAAGGGGTCTCTGGGCTACCGGGATGCTAGTGGCTGCAGACGGGACCGTGACCCGCACGTGGCTCCCTCAGCCTGTGGGTGTTTCCTTTTCCCTAAGAAAGGCTGTCTCCTTTCTGAGCAGAGTTCAACTTCTAGCCCTCAGCGTTTCCGTGTCGGGTGATTAGGATGAGATTTGGGTTGTGGTGTAAGAAGGGTGAAGGATGGGTCTAAGTGGGGGGTAAAGCTACCACATACCAAAGCCAAGGTCGGTAACACGTACGTGCTGTGTTAGGGACACGTATGGAGGCTGTTCATCTCCAGATCATACTGGTGGTACAGGTCAAGTTTGTGTCCACCGTTGGTACACCTATGGCTTTATCCGCCTCTTGGTGGACTCGACATCGCTAGGTGCTTTTCCACCACCTGCTAACGGATCGGTCTGTTTTCCGCCCCAGCTGCGCGCCCTGAGCTCAGCAGACTGCCGTTGAGCCCCAGAGGCAGTGCCGTCGCTGCACTGCATTTCTCGTGCGTGGAGAGCTGCTGGAAAATCTTGGTAGCTGAAGAACAGCGTTAATGGAGCTTTCTTGTCCTGTTCCAGAACCACAAACCCCTTATTTAAAGAGACCTTGAAACAAATTGAAAGGAAACCAGAATGTGGAGGCCTGCCAATGATATCATTTCTCATTCTCCCTATGCAGAGGGTAACACGGCTTCCTCTGCTGTTAGATGTAAGTAAGTCACACGGTGGCATTGCTTGGCACCTCTGAAGAGGTGACGGTGTCATACCCTTCTGTGGTTTCCCGAGCCCGGGACAGCCTTCTGCTTGGACTTCCATCCCTCTGGGAGCTGAGGCTGGGATGCCTGAGCCTGTATTCAGGATTTAGATCAGGAGCGCTCCGCTTCTTGTGGGCGTCAGACGTGCAGCTTAAAGCATTGTGAAAAATGCTTTCACATCTCAGCACCATCCACCCAAGTAACATAAGGTTCTTCTGTGCCCTGTGCTGCGTCCAGATACCCAGAGTGGGGTGGCACTACCGTCCGGTTTGATTACTGGTCAGGTGGCCGAGGAAGGGAAAGCAGGTCTTGCACAAGCTTCGCTGAAATCGGGGACTTCTGGTCCCAGCTGCTCTGAACAGCAAAGCTGCTGGACGTGGGATTTCTAGTAACGGCTCCCAGTTTGTAATGGGCTGCAGGGGTGAGGGCAGGGGGCTTCCCAGCGCATGGGGTGACAGTGACGGTCAGGCACAGATCCGATGCGAAAGCCCCATCAGAAATCCGATTCACAGCTACCAGCACTGTTAAACCTTGCTTTGGCCTCGTGCCTGCCCCGCTGCCAGGCTGGCCCTTGGCACCGGCTCGAGCACATGTCGCATCCTGAAATCCCAGGGAAGCGGTTGATGCGCAGTTCTCTGTCTGGCAATATCACTAAAGCGTCTTATCTTGAAATTCTAGACGGTCTGTCAAAAAACAAAAGCATGCACTGCAGCGTACGGAGCTGCCACCAGAGCTCTGAAAGCCATCAGCAAGGTGAGGCCCGGCTGCCAGCTCTCCACCTTTCCTCCTCCAGCGCACCGTTCCGTCACTCTGGCCCCGAGCCTGCGGTTCTGGCCTCTCATTTTCCCTCCCTGCATCGGTTCACTTGAGATCTCTCTGCTCCAAATAGCTGCTGGATGTAGGCGTCTTCTCCCTCGCTCACCTTTTTTACCTGATCTTGTTTTTTCCTTTTTTTTGTCATCTCTTCTTCTTTCCTCTTTGGCCCATCTTTTGTCCTTTCCTTTAGCGTCATCTTCTCCGTTAGTGCTCTCCCTTCTCAGAGCCTCCCTCGAGGTGATAGCGAGCTGCAACACTTACTTGCCGTGGTTTTTGGAGATTTAGGCAAAGAGCAAATGTAGAGGAGCGAAGGCGCAGCAGAAGCGATGGCAGTCGTGAGCCGCATGCTGTTCGTGCTCCCGCGTCCCATCTCCATCTGCTTTCCCATCTGGTGGTCACTCGCGCAAGGCGATGTGCTGCGGAGAGCACGGCCACCAAAGCGGCAGTGGCGGCTCTTCCTTTTGTCCCCCCTAAAGACCGGCTCCTGGCAATGCGCTCCGGCTGCTCCGGAGCGGTCTGTCCCGCTCACACATCCGTCGGGGGAACAAAACGCACGACCGCCGGGCCGGAGGGGCGGCAGGCGGAGGTGCCTCTGCTCGGGAGGGATAACGCGAGGGGCCAGGGTGCCCAGCGGCTGCCCTCGGAGATGCAAAGGGTGGCATCGCTTCACCTGCCTGCGGAAGGCTTCTGTCCTCCCCTCCGTCTGTCTGCTTGTTCGTCCTCCTCTCTTAACCTCCTCTCTCGGGGTGATTAATTCTTCCCCTTCGTATTGCTCCTCGGCGAAGCTCGGTGTTGGTGCGCTTTCACTTTGGTCCTTCTCCAGGCAGAGCAAACGTGCCATCTCTCTCCTGGAGATCTCTGGTGGCAGGAGAACCTCCAGCTGCCTTTCCCCAAACCTGCCTTGAAACCTGCGTCGGGATTCGGCTGCTTCTCCCGTTGAGGGAAGCAGGGCAGCCGCCTGACCCTTCGCCGGCAGTACCGGTGCTGGTGCGGAGGACGGCTGGGCTCAGCATCCTGCCGTTCTCCGCTTCCCTTGTGGTCGTCGTCTTCTTCTAGCTGGTTAAGAACTGCAACGAGGGAGCTCGTGCTATGGAGAGGACAGAGCAGATGTACACCCTGCAGAAACAGCTGGAATTTGGAAAGAAGAAGGTGAGGTCCTGTGGAGGCGGCGGGGGGGAAATCTTCTGGGGTGTGCTGTTAGAGGGGCCCATCCCAGGCATGTCAGGCCTGTCCTGGGAATCCTTCCAGGAAGCCTTGACCGGCTGGAGCATCGCTGCCAGCAGCAGCATCACTGCTCCATGCCCGGGGTGACCGTTTTTTCCTGCTCTTCTGACTTAAATATAAGTTTTTGAGCACTCGTCCTGCCAGCTTGGAGGGTGCAGCAGCGTAGTCCTGGATAATCCACCGTCCCTCACAGCCCTGCCCTTTCTCTTCTGCCTCGCTGTGAGCTTTCATCTCCTGCACACGGGTGGCGAAAGCTGGGCTTGCCCCTGACCAGGGGAGGTTTTACCTGGGTGGATCAGCTGGCAGCGATGTCTGCCCTTGCTGTCTTGCTCCAGACAGACATGGGGCTTCGTCTGTCTGCCAGGACTGTCAGATAGGGGCACATTTCTAAAGGGCTGTAGTAAAGCCTTGACGTTGTGCCCCACTGCTGCGGTTCGGGGGGGCTGCGTCTCCGGGCATGCTGGAGCGGGGTGCATGGCTGCCTCCTGGAAAAGATGTTTAAAAACTTGTGATGTGTCCGTCCTGACTGACCCCGGGGTCCACTGCGAGTTCAAACACAGCTTCTTGACTTGATTTTGCCTGCCGCTTGTGAGACAGGTAGTAAGTCAGAGTTTCCCCGGATCTGTTTCAGCCTTTCCCGCTGATTTCTGCTTCCCGCTGGCTGCTGAAGCGGGGGGAGCTCTACCTGCTGCTGTCGGAAGAAGCGGGCATCTTCCGCCGAGGGGCCGGCAGGCTCTGCTACCTCTTCTTGTTCAACGACGTCCTGATCATAACCAAGAAGAAGAGGTAAGGCCCGGAGGGGACGCGGGGGGCTTCCTGTCCCTGGAAAACAACTAGGCGCTTTAAAATCTCAATTTCCCAAGCAGCACGTAGCCTAAGTCTTGAGACTTCCCTGTTTTGACCTTTATTGAAGTGTCCCTTGTTAGCCAGAAGGGCAGCACCCAGCTCCACCGCCCGGCTTCTGTTTGTGGGCGGCCGGCAAGTCCGCAGAGCCTTGTCCCAACCCCGGGCATCAGCTCGTGTCCTTGCCATGAGGGTCACCTCGGCGATGCCCACTGAACTTCACCTGCCGGGGCTCCAAGCCGGTGCCGGGAGTCAGCTCCATCCCAGCCGGCAGCATCGGTTCTGCGGCTGCCAGAGCGGCTGAGGTGCCGATTCCCGTCTTTGCCGCAGCGAGGAGAGCTACACCGTCGTGAACTATGCCACGCTGGACCAGATCACGGTGGAGAAGATCGAGAACGCGGACCCGCCTTCCCCTCCTCCCGGCAAGACCGGGAGCGGCAGCACGGCCCGCGGCACGGCCGGCGGGCATCTGCTCCGGGTGGTGATGGAGAAAGACAGCGAGGGCAGGCGGGAGGAGATCGTGCTGTCGGCAGAGACGCTGTGAGTGGCCCGGTGGGATTTCACAGGGCGCGTGCGTTCTTGCTTGTGGGATAAACTGGTGCCTTGGAAATCCCCGTGAGGGTTCTGTGAAGCACCCTTTCCCTCCCCGCTCCTCTGCCCAGAAAGGGGGACCTGCGGGGGCTTCTCCCCTTGCTCTGTTCCTTTCTCTCGCTTAGATTTCCGTTATAATTCCCACGTAGTGCTTTCCCTGTCGAAATGAAGCAAAGCGGCTGGGTGGCGTGTACCGCTTCTGAAGTACCTTTACGGTGAATGCTCTGATCTAATGCTTGTCCAGTCTGACTTCCCTTGAAAGCCTTCATCCTGCTGGAAATTTCCCAGCTACTGCCAGCATCCCATCTCTATGGCTTTCTTGGTAATATGGGCTTTCCCTCTGCCAGGAGTGACCGGGCCCGGTGGATGGCTGCGCTGATGCACAGAGAAAAGGAAAAGCCTGACACCACTCCTAAAGGAGGTACCGGCATGCGGGAGGTCCGGCCTGGATCTGCAGGGGTTAGCGGTTGCGCTAGAGCCTGAGCATTTGCAGGCACAGGTTTCTACCTGGTTTTATCCGCTCCTGGTGGAGAAGGAGCTGAGGACATGTGTCGATGGAGAGCTCAGGGTACCACACCTTGCTCGTTAGGAGTTGCCTCCCATTAAGTTATCGGTCACACTAAACCTTCAATGTTTCCCGGGAGGCAGAGTGAAATTCCGGGGATGCCTCCGGCTGTCAGTAAGAAGAGGTTTGGCTTCTCCTCCCCATGTGCTTGGAGGGGGCAGCCAGAGAGATGCGGGACAGGGACCGGAGGGGAACGGAGCACGGCTTGCTGCGGAGCCGTCGAGGTGGGCAGCCAGGCTGGGCTGGAGCAGCTTGCCCAGCCCCGGCGGGGGGCCACCTCCAGGCAGGGCCACCGGCCACGCGTGCCGGGCTGCCGGCCGTGCCGTCTCACTGGGTCCCCGCCGTCCGTTGTCCTCTGCAGATCTGAGCCAAGTGGAGATAACCCGCGCCTGCCTGGCTAAAGAGGCGGACGAGATTTCCCTGCAGCAGGCTGACGTCGTCCTGGTGTTGGGCGGAGAGGACGGTAAGGGTCGGCGAGTGGGGAGCTGCGGCCGGGGAAGTCTTACCCTAGGCGGGGGAAAAAGCTTCAGTGATGCCAGCGAACCGGGATTTTAGCAATTTTCAGAAGCTTCCAGGAAGCCCTAGCTGCCGGTGGGGTCCGTGTCTCTGGCTGGTGCTGTGTCCCAGCAGACGACGGCGGGTCCCCGGAGGCTGACGGAGGTGGCACTGCCGCGTTCCTTACCGGTGACTCCCGTGGCAGCCAGCAGCAGAGACCCGGGGAGGGAGGGAAATAAGCCCCAGAACAGGCGGTAAATGAGAAACCGCCTCCCTTGCAAAGCTTTCCCTGGATGCCTCCAGCTGGCACCTCCGTGGGAAGGGGAGCGGGCAGCCCTCTCCTTCCATGTGCGTCCCCGGGAGCCGTGGCCCTTCGTCGTCCTTCATCACCCGCTCTGTTCTCCTCCTAGGCTGGTGCTGGGGGGAGAGGCTGAGGGACGGTGAACGGGGCTGGTTTCCCCAGTCCTGCGCCCGGCAGATCACCAGCCGCGCGGCGGTGGAATGCAACGTCCGCCGGATGGAGCGGCTGCGGATAGAGACCGACGTGTAGGCTGACGGCCGAGGGAAGATGCCTCTGTCGTGACTTCTTTCAGGGGGTCTTCAGACCTCTGCGGACCGAGCCCATAGCGAGAAGGGCGTGGGAGAGCCTTTCTTCTTGAATTTCGTTTGTCTCGAGCGGTCACGGGCAGCAGATCGTATCGTTCGGGACCGGTTTGTGTAGCGGCCGTGACAGCAGCTAATTAATGCGAGACCCGGCATCCGAGCGCTCCTGGCCGACGCTAGTATTAATGACCTGGAATGGGCTTCCAGAGCCAGCCAAGGCGTTGGCTCAAGTTGAAAAGGCTGCGGCTGCGTTCTGGGCTCTGTGAAGGCCTCGTGCTGCCGTCTCTTTCCCTGCTGATTTCTGGGCCAGCGCCTGCTGGCAGCGGCTGCACACCTTGCGTGGGGAGGCCTGGGGCGTAGGGAGAGCAAACCTGAATCAAGAATTTTTAGGAACTGAAATCTATATGCTAGGCTTATTCCTTGACCCAATTTTTCCCTCCTCTTTCTTTTTCTTTTTTTTTCCTTCCCTTCTGTTCCCCCCCCCCAAGCATTCTCCGTTCTTTTGAGCACAGCTCTGACCTCCGCAGGGTGAGGTGATGCCCACCACCTTTCAGTCCCCTGCTAAATTAGCAGGTGCCGGAGGCTGGTGCAGTCAGAGTTGTTGTCATGGGGTCAGCTCAGGGGCCAAAAATGGGATGCTCCAGCCAGAGGGAAGCAATTTGCAAGTCCCACCAAACGAGCAAGCCGGGAGCATGAAGAGGAGCGATGCTGCAGCTCCCGGCTGCCTGTCCCGTCTCCTGAGGTGGGCACATGGATGTGCCGGGGCACAAGGTGGGAGATCAGCCCCCCTGGAGAGGGATGTAGCGATGGAGGGTCAAACCTCAGCCTTCCTGAGGCAGAGCGCTCCCTTCTCCTCCCCTTCTCCCCCAGAATTAGCACCGACAAGTGATTAACGAAGAGGGCTGAGGCAGGGTGCTGCTTCTGCCGTAGCTGAGCAGCGTGAATCTGGGGTTTTTGGTGGGTCGGGTGTTTAATGCCGCAGGGACTTTGGGGCAGCGGCAGGAGACGGGGCCGGGCAGCTCGGCCGGCAGCTCTGCGATGCTCGGCCGGTTGCATCTCGTGGAGGGGATACGGCAGCTACGACGTCGGGGTGAGGCGGCTCTGCGCGCCGCCTGGCTTTGGATTCACAGGGGCACCATTGTTGTAACGTGTCTGTTTGGATTAAACTGTTAAAGGATTAATTGGATTAACAATAAATTCCTGGATCCCAGTGAAAGGCGCGTTCTCCTTGCCCGAAAGGGAGCTGCACGCAATGTCGGCAGCACCGGTGGGGCCCTGTGTTTAACCTGTTAGTGGCGATGGGTGTCCCTGAGCACAATGGCTCTGCGTCGGGTTGGTGCCAAGGAGCCAGGTTGCCCCACCATGAGCTCTAAAATGAAAGCTTCCTTCTGCTGGCAGCACCGTCCTGGCCTCCGCTTGCTCTCAACATTTGCACATCTCAGGAACCATCCTTTGGAATAGCTGACTAAAAATCTGCTGCCAGTTGCAGCATGTTTCAAGTGTAATTGACTGAGCGAGACAAGATAAGTAGAAATTCAGTGAGGCTTTCTGTTTATTTCTCTTAACTGTGGAAGAATTAAAATTTTTCATCAGTGCTAAATTAGAGGAGATGGGGTCCAAAAAGAGAGACACTAGCTACATGAAAAGAGGAAGCAAATTAAGAAGTAAGAACAGGAAAAAAATCATGGTATAAAAAAAACCCCCATAGATGCAGGGCTGCTGCAGTCCCATGCTCAGATGTCCGGCTTGCTCCGGGCAGGAGCCACGGAGCTGCAGGTCAGGTTTTTGTGCTGGAACGGGACGGGACCGATTTACCCCAATGCTTAAGGGCAGGCTCGCCTGGAGCAGGTCCGTCGAGGCAGACCGCTTCCCTGCACTTCGGTGCCGGCGGGACACGCGGCACGGTGGCATCGCTCGCCGGCACGGTGGCATCGCTCGCCGCGCTCGGTGGAAGGGCGCGTGGGCAGGGGCCGCTCGCTTTCTGGCGGGGGCTGCGTTTGCTTTCCAGCCGGCCGAGGAAATAAATAGAAACCTTCGTCTAACGCGAGGGTCGCTTCAAGGCAAAGGTAACAAAACATATGATTGTCTGGAGAATCGGCAGCGCGACTAGCAGGATTGATCAGGGTCATTTGGCACGTGGACAAAATCTTCCTACTCCCTGGTTATCAATCATACGACATACGACCTTAATTACACAATTTTGGTCCTTCACTACATACTTATATTAACATTATTTCTTCACAATAATGATACCTAATGCAAAAAATACTGTTAAGGAAGAAATAAAATAAGGAAAGAATTAGCAACAAATTACAAGTTATATACAGATTAAAATAAATTCCATCAGGAAAAGAAACCATTCTTTTATTATTTTCAGTTGGCCCCTGTGGGAATAATTTAAAGGCCAAGCGCCTGGGCAGGGCTGGACTGCAGCAGCAGCAGCAGCAGCAGAGGCAGATGTGCTGGGACGGGAAGGTCCCATCTCCTTCGCAGAGAGCCTGGTTGCTTTTGACAATTGTCGGCTCTCGGGCTCTATTTGCCCGAGAGCTTTGTGCAAATAGATGAAGCAGTTCGGGTTACACTGACTGTTGGTCTCAGAGCCTTGGGCACTTTCACAGGGTGTTGCGGGAAACCAAAAAGGAAGGGTAAATTTTCTTGGAAAACACGCTGATGCTGCTCATCTACCTTTTGTTCCTTCTGCACCAAAGCTACCCTAGATGCTTTCCTCCGTGGCCAGCGTGAGGCTCCTGGCTATCTAAAACCAGCCACACGCGTGCTCTTGGGCGCAAAGAGCAAATGGCAAAGCTATCGTTCCTAACACGACCTCCGCTTTATTTGAGTAGCCGTTTCCTCTGTTTTAGCATGCTGGAATGAGGCTGCCCCGTTGCATTTCTCCCCACTGGACCGGCACAGAAGCCACTGTCTGTTCTTTTCCATGCCAAGCAGGCAGAGAGGCCACGTGTGTCAAGTATTTACAGGCAGATATACTGAGCACTGCGTGCTGTTTCTCTGAAATCGGCCATTAACCCAGTTCTGCCAGCAGTTACTACCCGATCAAATACTTCCTAGAAGCACACCCAGCACTAAAATATGCTGAAATTAATGGGAGAAGTTCCTCTCGACTTCACTGACTTTGGCTGCAATCTTCACAGAGCCAGCCTGCCAGAGCACCTCCAGACTCTGAGCAGGTTGCTGACGCAGAACTGCAATGGGCGAGATGCAGAGGCACGCGGTTTCACTCAGTGGTAGCAGTAGTCCCGTGGCACTTCTAATTTTTAGATGCTGTAATCTGAAAATTCTCAGGCCACACATTCTAAACTTTATCTTTGTAGCCAATGTTATCCTTTGCAAGGTCTAAGTGCTTTCCTGACTATTCTGTAATGCAGCTTTACCTGCGAAACCACTGCTCCAACAGCAGATTGTAATTGCAATGTAGGAGAGCATAAGCATCACAGCATTTCTGGAGGCTGCTTTGGATCGGTAAAGAAGATGAGACAGAAGCGATTTAAAATCACTCCTAAAATATCTGCGAGATTTTAGAGTCAGAGAGACAATTCAATTCTTAGCTATGTGCCTGAATAGAGGGCTGTACCCCTGAGGTTGCTGAGGCAAGGAAATTTTAATCTTTCTACTTCAACGACAGGCCAAATGGCAGCGTGCGATGCATAAGCAACCATCCAGCATACCAAAACAACTGCACGAGTCAGAAATTTCTGCTGCAATTCCCAGATACCGTCAACACTGAAAGGATGTCAGTCTAAAAAAAAAACCCGGGAGATAAATCGCAAGATGTGTCTGGATTGCCCTTCTTAAGGCGAGACTCGCCCACCACACACACTTTCTCACACACAGCTACCCCTCTCCAGGTAAGGGTTTACCTCTCTGCCTGGGCAAATCCAGGCTTTTTCAGCAGCTCACTGGCAGGGACTCAGGCCAGCATGGGGCAGAGTGCCATCGCTCCCCTCGCCAGCAGACTTGCTGAGCATGGCTTTTTCTGAAACACTCCAGATGCTTCAAGTCCAAGCAGCAGCTCGGGCTCACAGGCACTAGCAGAGATGGAAAGCACTCTTAACCTTGCGTCGGCACAGACAGAAGGGCGCTCGGGGCACAGCCGATGACCGTGAACCACGTGCTTGCACGATACCTCGATGACTCCAACCTCAGCAATGCTCCAGGCTGAAGCTTTCTCTACCGGGACACTGCATATGGTGTATCGTGACTGCAGGCAATGCGGCCTCGCATTCGAGAAGCTCTGCACCGTGCCAGTGTGTTTTGTTGGGAACAAAGGAGAGGACGGCGTTTCTGTGGGAGCACTGAATTTCAAATTCTTTTGGGGGTCAATTAAATGGGTTGAATTTACCCTTCCCTGGTATAACTCCAGTGACTATGTCAGAATTGCACCAGGGATAGGTCACATCTGGCTCTCTTTCCTTATTACTTCACTATTCAGCTGAATTGAAAGGAAATGCTACCGACTGGTTTCAAGCTTTCATTTATATGCTTTACAGGCTTTACTGGCTCAGTGATACTGTTTTGTAATGTTAGAGGGGCCAATGTTTGATTGCACTGTTGCAATTCGTGTCTTGCTCATGCCATTCCTATAGACTGTGAAATCCTAGGGCTGCATCAGGGTTATCCAGTTTTGGAGAGGTTCATTCTGATAAATTAGAAATGAAAACTCTGGACAGATAAAAATGCAGGACTTGTAGGTCGGATGCGACAGGTTTCCTTCTCAGCCAAAAGTCCAGACGACTCCCTGAGGCCCTCTCATCCATCTTCTGCTTGCTAGGATTTTTGCTAGGATAATTGCAGCACCACCGCCTCCTCGCTTGGACTCTGGCCAGTGCCTTGTTGACCTCTCAGAGGTGGTTGATGGGGTTAAAGGTCCCCGACTCTGAAGCTGCTCCTGCCATGTCCAACCAAGCACCCAGAGAGTTCTGGGAGGAC